ATTATCTCAGAACAAAGAATAACGAAATAACGGTTGTTTTGTGGGAGGGAAAAGGACTGAGATAAACAACCCAGTCACTGATGCTTGACTGGGAAATTCGTTATTCTGATCTAGGCATTTGTTCTTGCCCATAACGAAAAAAAGACAATATTTTTTACACGATCCATCAAGGCCCACTTGATCTTTCTTTCTTTTCTTTATTTAATAATTCATAAACTCAACCACAGATTCCCTATTCGCAGGGATGCATAGAAGAAATTTCATGCATACATAGATTCAAACCTCTCGGCACATAAAACCCTTTCCAAACATACAGGCTTATGTAGCCACTCAAACCCACGCGCATAAACCTACATACACAATTTTACAAATATGCACATACACACACACCAACAGTCCATACACGATGGATACATTAGGAACGTAGACTCGTCCCGGCCGGATGGTTACCCCGGGCGCTTGCCTGAGGCCGGACATCGGGTGGCAGAGGATGTTGCGAGGATTGAGGAAGTGAAGGTCGCACTCAGAACACGCGAACAGTGGCGGTGGTAGTGACAGGATGGTGACGGGAGATGATGGTGGTGGTGATGCTGATGGTAATGAAGAACTCCCTCCCTCTCTCTCTCTCTCTCCCTCTCTATGTGTGCATGTTCGTGTGCATGCATCTATATATACATTCTATATGTACGTTAAATATATAAATGAAAACGAGTAAACCGCCAAAACCGTTCATTATACGTAAACAGGAGCAACCAACGTTCTAACTTGACGCAGTACGCTAGCACGAACAAAGCTAATTCAAGTCGTCTTTGTTGCATCCTTAAAACAAGTCGTAAAAAACTCATGGTTGAAGGTCAGTACATGGGACGTTTAGCCTTATTTAGCGCTCCATTTGGTATTAATAGCATTCTTAAAATATAATAATGTAGAAAAATAACACATATATCTTTCGGTTATTTCGGTAGCATGACAATGAAATACTTTTGGTTAGAAAAAATGAATTCCAAGGTATATTATTTGTTGTCCTGTTCATATGTGACTTCGTGATATATGATCCATGGTAAGGGATACTTTGTAGATGTTTTGCCAAAACACCTGTTCCGTCAGCATTTGTTTCTACCAACATCGCACAAACAAACACTTGCGCTACAACACTTGGTTTACAAACAGTCAGTGTACCATTTTTCGTCGTTGCACAGCTACATCATCAAACATACCTTTGCATGACCAAATACCGACCACAAGCAATATTAGACGACCATCCCTATCACATCAAGGCTCGCTCATTAATACCACAGCACCAAAAACCCGAATGCGGCATCACAAAATAAAAAAGGACCTTAAACTTCCCCATTATCATAATTCAACCACCACGTCATCAAAATCACATCATCCAACATACACACACAAACGCATGACCCTGGACGCCCACAGTCCCCGGCAGGTGGAAAGTGTTGCTCCGTGAGACAAGGGCGTTAGCGACCTTCATTGTATTTGCTTTTGTAAGATACCTCATTCTCGCTGGCCACTATCGAATGCAGAATCTCCAAGGCATTCCAACACCTCACTCCTACAAGCGACGTCCGATGGAGATTCTACGGAAATCTTAAGGTGGGTGCTGGGATCTCGGTAACTCACATGAGCCTATATTCATCTGCTAACCTGATCCTCCGGGACTCCCACGTGACAGGGTGTGATGACTCAAACTGTGGGAAATTAATTCGCTGAATCTGTACTTGAGTGGTTTCTCTACTTTGTGTGTCTTGGGCTGGAACTCCCTCGTGGCGTGCGATTTCTTTCTCTCTCCACATTGTTTTCTCTTTTTATTTATCTTAGTCTCTCTTCTCTTCTCTCTCTCTCTCTCTCTCTCTCTCTCTCTCTCTCTCTCTCTCTCTCTCTCTCTCTCTCTCTCTCTCTCTCTCTCTCTCTCTCTCTCTCTCTCTCTCTCTCTCTTTCTCTCCCTCCCTCTCTTTCTCTCTCCCTCCCTCCCTCTCTTTCTCCCTTCCTCCCTCCCTCCCTCACCCTCATTCTCTGTGGAGGAAATGCTCTTACAATCTATTTGTCCCTCGCCTTAACTATACCGGACTTGTCTCCTTGGCTGCGAGAGCTTTCCATCCATGTCACCACTAGACAGCCTTGTGTACCAACCCTCGCCTTCCTTTCCACTACCCTTACCGTCTGTTTCTGTCTTTCATTCCTTCTCATGCCTCTTTCCTTCATATTTCTGTCTATTTTTATATGCGCGCGCACACACACACACACACAAACACACACACACACATACACACACACACACACACACACATACACACACACATATATATATGTGTGTGTGTGTGTGTGTGTGTGTGTGTGTGTGTGTGTGTGTGTGTGTGTGTGTGTGTGTGTGTGTGTGTGTGTGTGTGTGTGCGTGTATGTGTGTATGTGTGTGTCCTGTATATTTACCCGCAAATGTGCTTTTGTATGCGTATGTTATATATCACGCTCACTTACTCGTTTCTTCATGATCTAAATGCATTATCCAATTCCATCCCCCTCTTTCTCCTCTTCATATCCCTTTGTCACTCTAACCTCCTCTCCATTTACTCTCTCTCGTCCTTCCTTCTCCCCTCTTCCGCTCTCACAACCCCTTCCCTTTCCTTCTCCCTTCCGTCCAGAAATATGTGAATCCGTCCTTGCAGTAAGGAGGTCGTTCCGCGCGTTCAGGAAGTGTGCATTATGGGCCAGTGCGATCATTCTCTATAAAGTGTCGGCAGAATTTTAGAGCGGAACTCTGATACTTGTTCTTATTCTCTCTCTTTTTTTAACAACTCTGCATGTGCCCAGGAGATGTATCGCGTAAATGGCAATCACTAACACAAGGTCAGAGCTTTGTAGTGTTTGACCTTGTTCTCTTGAGAAAAGATTGCAAAACTTTTACCTGTCCGACAAAACAGTTTCCTCGTCCACATTAACAAATGCTTGAGTGCGGCCATGGGAGAATGCGGCGATGTGTAGTGTCATGTCCATTGCCATAACACTCTTCTGCCCTTACAACACGGCATGCTAACTTACACAACATCTTGCTGAATTCTTGCTCATCGGGTGAAGATTACCTGAATGTGCCCTAATCTATGTTGCAATTTCATTTATTCATGGAAACATAATAAATACAATGGTATTAAGAGCGAAACAGAAAGAGAAGAAAGAGGAAAAGGAAAAAGAAAAGAAAGAAGAGTGGAAGAAGGACCATTGTTCGTCGGTTAAACACAGAGACGTCATGCATGATGATTTTACTTGCAATATGCTTAGGCTCTTGTAAGGTCGCTTATGTCTTCTCTTGTCAAACTGAATGCTAATACTCAAATTAATTATCAGGCGGTAGATGAATATACTTGCAGACAGGCTATAAACAGCATCCTAATAGCAATGAAATACTAAAGAAGTGGAAAAAATATATGATAATTCAAGAATAAAAAAATGGAAATGCGAAGGCTTAGAGCATCGAGTAGAGGAGTGTGTGAGAGAAGGGAAGATGAGAATAAATCAAAATGTTAAGACATACAGCGCCACGAGAAGACACACGTGCACGCGAGAGATGTTACAATTTACAAGTGTTCACGCATTGTGAATGGATTTGGCACTGCAACATCTGCTTATATTCCCACACATCCTTTGCACGATATTAAGAAAAATATGCAGAGTGTAGGACAAAGGAAAAATATTATTTCTGTTAACAAAGAATGCACTTTTTTCATTCCTGTTGCTGAAAATAACGTTTACATGAACAGCGACAAGAAACGTGAAGAACGGCGTTTACCCAAGCAGACTCAACATCACAAGCGTAGTTATTCTGATGGGCTATTTAGGCTGGCAGTCGTTACAAACGGCTTTATGAGCTGTGAAGGGGTTGGTTGCCATGACTGCTTGCTTTGCACGCTTCACGCACCTCACTCTTTCTATCTCTCTCTCTCTCTCTCTCTCTCTCTCTCTCTCTCTCTCTCTCTCTCTCTCTCTCTCTCTCTCTCTCTCTCTCTCTCTCTCTCTCTCTCTCTCTCTCTCTCTCTCTCTCTCTCTCTCTCTCTCTCTCTCTCTCTCTCTCTCTCTCTCTCTCTCTCTCTCTCTCTCTCTCTCTCTCTCTCTCTCTCTCTCTCTCTCTCTCTCTCTCTCTCTCTCTCTCTCTCTCTCCCTCCCTCTCTCCCTCTCTCCCTCTCTTCCTCTCTCCCTCTCTCCCTCACTCCCTCACTCCCTCACACTCTCACACCCTCACACCCTCACACCCTCACTCCCTCACTCCCTCACTCCCTCTCTCCCTCTCTCACTTCCTCTCTCTCTCTCTCTCTCTCTCTCTCTCTCTCTCTCTCTCTCTCTCTCTCTCTCTCTCTCTCTCTCTCTCTCTCTCTCTCTCTCTCTCTCTCTCTCTCTCCCCCCCCCCACACACACACACACATGCACATATGTGTGTTTGTTTGTAAGTATGTATGTATGTATGTATGTATGCATGCATGTATGTATTGTGTGTGTGTGTGTGATAGATAAATAGGCAAATCGAGGGATAGACACACAAACACACACGCGCGCGCGCGCGCATGCACACGCCCATATGTGTGTATCTGTGGATATTAATTTACCTTATATCATCTTCGGTATATATCTACACACATACTTAATACATAACCTGTACGCATATAGCCACCAGCAGGGCCGTCGCAAGGGGGGGGGTGACACCCTCTCTGAAAAAAGCATCTGTCGGCAAATGAAACCTTAAACCTGCATTTTTTCGGCAAATTGGTAAATTTTGACAATTTCTGCTGCTAATTAGTCGGCGCTCTGTACGAATGGTTCACAGAACATTGGGTTATTGTGTGACTGATAAAGTCACCAACGCCCAACGCCCAATGACCACGCCCATTGTCGGCAAATTTGAAACATTACACCCCCCCTGCAATGCTGCCTTCCCGACGGCCCTGGCCACCAGATCGCTTTGAAACAAAGCAATTTATTAACGTCTCCCCTGCAGGTTCCTTCCAGCCCCGTCCTCTATGGTCCCCGCGCGTCCTCTGGCAGCGGACGGAGGAACCTCGGCGAAGGAGAGAGGAGAGAGAGAGTGCGGCGGCCGTGATGGTGGCGTTAGCTTAATCTACCGCTCCCAGGCACACACACTGGTCAAAATGCCAGTCAAACGATATAGACGGGATCAGAGTGAAGTCAGCTGCTGCCTAAAATATGTCATATTTGGCTTCAATGTTATATTTTGGGTGAGTACTGCCAGTGTTTACATCCCTCTTGTTGACCTTTTTCTCTCTGTCTCGGGGAACTGTCAAGCTCGATTCCTTGTGCCTATGTGATCCTATACGCCCACGTCCTCGTGATGAAACATGCACGCGAACAGTGTTAATTCTAAGCCAGTGAAGAGTGATATACAACGAATTTTGTATTTTGTGAAGAAATTGCACGAGAGACAAAGAGAGGACTCGACCGTGTTACCACTTCCTGGACCCATATCATCGGTGTATTGTGTCCCGTTATAGTACTTCCTTGCACGTTCCTTGCCCTGGAGGAATGGCTTTTTGGTGCTCTTTGTATGGGAAATTAACTTATTTGTTGAAATTGGATTTTGTAGAGTTGAAATTGAAGCAGAAGAAAGTTAATTGATAATATTCCCATTGAAAATTATGGTATAGTTTGTATTATGTATATGAAAAATTTTGCATGCAATGATCAGAATGACCAAAAATAAGACTTTTCATCTATGGTATTACTTTAGCAAGATGATGATAATAAAGTTATGTGACATGAAAGAGAGAAGAAAAAAAATAAACAAAATTATGTGAAGGTATTACAGTAGTTAAATCTGAGATGAGTGGTTATTTGTGTTGTAGGTCATATAAATCAGTACTGAACTAATTATAAACAAGGACATTGAAATTGTGTACAACTCTACCACTCCAAATTGTGTAAACTTAGAGGACTACTAACAATAGAACAAATTTTGGGATTCTTAATGTTATGGGTCAATAAAAAAAAATGTTTTGTAAAAAATTTGAATGTCAATTTTATTCACGTACATTACCCGTGTCACTATTATGTGATGTGTGTTTCCCTTTATTTTTTTTGCAATTCTGGATATGTAAGCACTAAAGAACTTTTGGACTACAGTATTTTAGTAAAGGATCAGTTTAATTCAGGTAGACTTATTCAAACTCTTGTTATTCATGTGTACAATATATCTTGTACTGTTGTACCTAAAAAAACACAATTTATATATGTAGTTTATTACACTGTCTCAGATGTTTCCACTGAGAGATGTGCTTTTTTTCCTCAGGCCATTTTTGATGTCTTTATAATGTATATATTTTTAGAAATTAGAATACAAAGTTTCCATTAGATCCCTTGTAGTTAGGAATGATATTTTTTGTACCATAAGACAGCTGTTTTAAATTCCTACATTATCATCACAGTTCTCTATACTCTTCATTTTTAAAATGGAATAACCTCACATCTATAACATATTCTAAGCTATTTCATTCACTTTGAAGTTTCATAAGTTATTTATTTATTTGGAGTGAACATAATAATCATCCTATATCATGCTTATGTGGACTACATAATATCAGATTTTCTCTTTGTGTTCACTAGCAATAAAGTAGCTTTTGTAGAAATAAAGTTGTTTCATATATTAACAAAACATTAATAATGTTAGTATTTGTGAACTAAGTATCATGACAGTGTTTTTCTAAAAATTGTATTACTGAAATGTAATATAGTAGCTAGATTTACATCTTATTAATCCAATTTTTTTTCTAGATTTTGTACAATGTTGTCTGTTATCTTTAGTGGCAGTGCCTAGTATAGTGTATATTACATCAGCTAAGTTTCTACTTTTCACCTTCTTGTGGAAGATTTCAGTGTATGTGTGGTTTAATTAAACATTTCTTTATAGTTAACAAAGCAAATGGTTACATATATTAAATTTCATGTAGTCTTGTTAAGCTATTTCAAATGTGATTAATTATAAAGCTGTTAATTGATGCTTGAAATTATTGGTAATATTTCAGTGTCAACTGCATAATTCATGTCTGAAGCTTCAAGGCATTTCTTTTTTTAACTGAATATTTTGTAATTTCTTGAAGCTAAACACAGTCTGATATTTTACCAACTTGTTTATGATTTCTGCTTATTTGTTAGATGTTTTGGTAGTAGGAATACCTTGCATATTCTATCCTGACATGCTTAGAATATGATGAGTTACATAAGTGAGCAGCCATAAGTAATGGTAAAATATTTCCTTGGACATCTCAGAAGGATGATATCTGTATTCAAGGCTATCTCTCTCTCTCTCTCTCTCTCTCTCTCTCTCTCTCTCTCTCTCTCTCTCTCTCTCTCTCTCTCTCTCTCTCTCTCTCTCTCTCTCTCTCTTCATTCTCTCTCTCTCTCTTCATTCTCTCTCTCTCTCTCTCTTTCATTCTCTCTCTCTCTCTCTCTCTCTCTCTCTCTCTCTCTCTCTCTCTCTCTCTCTCT